AAAAAAAAAGATAAAAAAGAGAATGACTGAAAAGTATGAGTGCAGAGAGAAGCCATATTTAACAAGAGTATGATGACTTAAAATTAGAATAACAAAAGAAGATAAATTAAATAATAAACTGTATTGCATAAAGTTAGAAAAATCTGTTTTTATTTTTTATTTTTATTTATTTATTTATTTATTTTTGTGGTGCTGGGGTTTGAACCCAGGGTCTTGTGCATACTAGGTAAGCACTCTACCAACTGAGCTATATCCCCAGCCCTCTGTTTTTAATAAGTAAAAACTGTTATGTATAGGTCATTACAGGCAATTAGGCATAAAGTACAAATAGTGGTTGTCAGTTTTTTGGTGTCTACAACAATGCTATGTAGTAACTCTGTGATAATGGAAATGTTGCATTTGTATATACTACAACTGAGGAACTTATTTTAAAATTTCAGGGCTGGGGATGTGGCTCAAGCGGTGGCACGCTCGCCTGGCATGCGTGTGGCCCGGGTTCGATCCTCAGCACCACATACAAACAAAGATGTTGTATCTGCCGAGAACTAAAAAATAAATATTAAAAATTCTCTCTCTCTCTCTCCACCTCTCTCACTCTCTTTAAAAAAAAATTTTCAATTAAATTTAAACAGCCCCCTTAAATTTAAATGGCTAGTGGCTACTGTAAATGGCTAGTAGCTATTGTATTGTATAGAATGGAGCAGGTTCATCCATAGAAAACTAAAAAAGAGAAATCAGGTTAAATCCAAGGGATTTATGTCATTTGTAGATATGGAGTCAAAGGAAGTAAGCAGTGGAACAAGACAGCATGTTCCAATGGTTAGATGGCAGATGTTTGCAGAATTAATATAAATAGGATCCTTTCACAATGTAATTACTGACGTATAGCCATCAATAACTTCCAGGGTCTCTAATTACTACAGACCTTTAAAAAGATAAATAACTCTCTCAGATAGTTCTAAAATTTAACTTTCTGAAAAGAGTCTCAAACACATGAGTACTTAAGATTCCTTGGAGATCTTTGATTTAGAATTCATTTGTATAATGATATTAGTAAATATTTTGAAATTGAAAGTGCATTTACTTAGAAAAACTATTTTCATTGCCAATTATAGATGAAACAAAGTGATTATAAAATCCTGGAGATGATGTTTAGCAAAATAAGTCATTTTTTATGACCATGAACTATGACAGAGACAACAGAAATTATAAATCTTAATCCTTAAAATGTATGGTTCAAAAAAACCCATCATGTACTAAATGCACTAAATGCATCAGAGTGTTTTAATATGTGAACAAAATAAATGACAGATTATTGTTTTTATTTTGCCTTGTATTGTTTTGATATTATAAGAAGAAATATATATTTGGTCTCTGCACATAGCTCCTAAGAATTCTGGAGTGATAAGATTGTCTTTTGTTTGCTAATAAGATGACTGGTGCTACTGGGACTAGTGCCTGTTGCTTCTGGATGGGGGCTGGTGACCAGAAAGACCAGGGCATAATTAGGAGATTGGGACTTTTAGCTCTAGCCGCCTCCAATATTTGGGGGGGAAGGGGGCCTAACGAGAGTTGATCATCAATGTCCAATTATTTTACTCAACCATGTCTGCATTATGAAGCCTACATAAGAGTTCAAAAGGACAAGGCTCCGATAAGCTTCCAAAAAGCAGAAAATGTGAAGGTTCCTAGAAGGTAGTGCTCCTGAAAAGGGCATGGAATCTCATTGCCCCTTTCCACATACCTTGCCCTCAGCCGCTCTTCCATCTGGCCATTCAACTATTGGCTTTGCAATAGCCTTTATAATAAACAAGTAAACATAAATAGTGTTTAACTGAGTTCTGTGGGCTGCTCTAGGAAGTTAATTGAACTTAACATGGGGTCACGGGAATACCCCCATTTCAATAACTTATAGCTGGTTACTCAAAAGTACAGTGTACAAGCTGTGTGCAATGGTCCATGCCTATAATCCCAGTGGCTCAGGAGGATCACGAGTTCACAGCCAGCCTCAGCAATTTAGTGAGGCCCTAACAACTTAGTG